GTGTACACCACACTCGTGTTTTCCATATACGGCGCTATCGTCATTAAAGATTTTCATATAGATAAGGATGATATCAATAGCATAATTCCTGATTCAATTCATTTTCCGAAAGGATTATCGCATTTTTTTATCGTTGAAAAATGGAAATATTGAATATTTAAATAACACTTAATCATTGGCCAATATGGTTTTGTTCAACGATTATTACGAGCCATATGCTGATATTTGTTGAGATATTATATAAATTAATATCGGTTTTTTACCGAGTTATTATTTATACAAAATATGTATTTAATAATGATTTTTGTCGTTCAGTTCTCGCCCATTGTACACCACACTCGTGTTTTCCATATACGGCGGAAGACATAATTTATGAAAAATGTCAAGATTTTTTATTTCAATGGAGCCTAAAATTGATAGATTGTACTCGATTCTATTTTACCGGATAGTGGGACTTGAATTTTGCACCATATTAAAATATTTTATTTGAATGCTCTAAACAAATAAACATATGACGTTTAATTTTCTTTTAATATAAAATTAAAAAAAAAAGGAAATTAATGTCACGAGAGAGTTATATATTCCCAATAATATGGTTTCTGTGCTATGTTTTGTAGGACCATTTATTGTCAATCGAAAGTCTGAAAAGGTAATAAAAAAAATTCTCCCATGGTGTTAAATTGAAAAATTTATTTTCGGTTGCTCTCGACAAGTGCACACCACACTCGTGTTTTCCATATACGGCGGAAGACATAATTTATGAAAAATGTCAAGATTTTTTATTTCAATGGAGCCTAAAATTGATAGATTGTACTCGATTCTATTTTAACGGATAGTTGTACTTGAATTTTGCACCATATTAAAATATTTTATTTAAATGCTCTAAACAAATAAACATATGACGTTTAATTTTCTTTTAATATAAAATTAAAAAAAAAAGGAAATTAATGTCACGAGAGAGTTATATATTCCCAATAATATGGTTTCTGTGCTACGTTTTGTAGGACCATTTATTGTCAATCGAATGTCTGAAAAGGGAATAAAAAAAATTCTCACATGGTGTTAAATTGAAAAATTTATTTTCGGTTGCTCTCGACAAGTGTACACCACACTCGTGTTTTCCATATACGGCGGAAGACATAATTTATGAAAAATGTCAAGATTTTTTATTTCAATGGAGCCTAAAATTGATAGATTGTACTCGATTCTATATTTGAATGCTCTAAACAAATAAACATATGACGTTTAATTTTCTTTTAATATAAAATTAAAAAAAAAAGGAAATTAATGTCACGAGAGAGTTATATATTCCCAATAATATGGTTTCTGTGCTACGTTTTGTAGGACCATTTATTGTCAATCGAATGTCTGAAAAGGTAATAAAAAAAATTCTCCAATGGTGTTAAATTGAAAAATTTATTTTCGGTTTCTCTCGACAAGTGTACACCACAATCGTGTTTTCCATATACGGCGCTATCGTCATTAAAGATTTTCATATAGATAAGGATGATATCAATAGCATAATTCCTGATTCAATTCATTTTCCGAAAGGATAATCGCATTTTTTTATCGTTGGAAAATGAAAATATTGATTCAATTCATTTTCCGAAAGGATAATCGCATTTTTTTATCGTTGGAAAATGAAAATATTGAATATATAAATAACACTTAATCATTGGTCAATATGGTTTTGTTCAACGATTATTACGAGCCATATGCTGATATTTGTTGAGATATTATATAAATTAATATCGGTTTTTTACCGAGTTATTATTTATACAAAATATGTATTTAATAATGATTTTTGTCGTTCAGTTCTCGCCCATTGTACACCACACTCGTGTTTTCCATATACGGCGGAAGACATAATTTATGAAAAATGTCAAGATTTTTTATTTCAATGGAGCCTAAAATTGATAGATTGTACTCGATTCTATTTTACCGGATAGTGGTACTTGAATTTTGCACCATATTAAAATATTTTATTTGAATGCTCTAAACAAATAAATATATGACGTTTAATATTCTTTTAATATAAAATTAAAAAAAAAAGGAAATTAATGTCACGAGAGAGTTATATATTCCCAATAATATGGTTTCTGTGCTACGTTTTGTAGGACCATTTATTGTCAATCGAAAGTCTGAAAAGGTAATAAAAAAAATTCTCCCATGGTGTTAAATTGAAAAATTTATTTTCGGTTGCTCTCGACAAGTGTACACCACACTCGTGTTTTCCATATACGGCGCTATCGTCATTAAAGATTTTCATATAGATAAGGATGATATCAATAGCATAATTCCTGATTCAATTCATTTTCCGAAAGGATTATCGCATTTTTTTATCGTTGAAAAATGAAAATATTGATTATATAATAACACTTAATCATTGGCCAATATGGTTTTGTTCAACGATTATTACGAGCCATATGCTGATATTTGTTGAGATATTATATAAATTAATATCGGTTTTTTACCGAGTTATTATTTATACAAAATATGTATTTAATAATGATTTTTGTCGTTCAGTTCTCGCCCATTGTACACCACACTCGTGTTTTCCATATACGGCGGAAGACATAATTTATGAAAAATGTCAAGATTTTTTATTTCAATGGAGCCTAAAATTGATAGATTGTACTCGATTCTATTTTACCGGATAGTGGTACTTGAATTTTGCACCATATTAAAATATTTTATTTGAATGCTCTAAACAAATAAACATATGACGTTTAATTTTCTTTTAATATAAAATTAAAAAAAAAAGGAAATTAATGTCACGAGAGAGTTATATATTCCCAATAATATGGTTTCTGTGCTACGTTTTGTAGGACCATTTATTGTCAATCGAAAGTCTGAAAAGGTAATAAAAAAAATTCTCCCATGGTGTTAAATTGAAAAATTTATTTTCGGTTGCTCTCGACAAGTGTACACCACACTCGTGTTTTCCATATACGGCGGAAGACATAATTTATGAAAAATGTCAAGATTTTTTATTTCAATGGAGCCTAAAATTGATAGATTGTACTCGATTCTATTTTACCGGATAGTTGTACTTGAATTTTGCACCATATTAAAATATTTTATTTAAATGCTCTAAACAAATAAACATATGACGTTTAATTTTCTTTTAATATAAAATTAAAAAAAAAAGGAAATTAATGTCACGAGAGAGTTATATATTCCCAATAATATGGTTTCTGTGCTACGTTTTGTAGGACCATTATTTTATCGTTCGTTAGATTGTAGAAAGAATAAAAATAATTTTCTTATTGTGTTGTAATTAAAAACCTGTGCTCTAGGTTTTCTATATACGGCAGGAGACTTAATGAATCACAATCGTGCAAATTTATAATTTGCCCGTCATTTCGTGTATAATAGCTAATCGCTTTTTCTACTTAAATATATTGTATTATTTATATGTTACATTATATTTTCATATTATTGTTGAATGTTTGTAACAAATATACTGATTTTTTTTTTTTTTATCCGATCTCTATATAGAAATTTGACGTGATCTGGACGATATACAATTATACGCTTCTTTATGGATTCTATCCTACTTGAACCAATATCTTGACATTTTATTGGTTTTAATAAAAATATTACTTCATTACTCAAATGTTTTTCTACTCGTTCGCGATATCTTTACACCAGACCTTTGTTGTCCATAAACTAGAAAGTCATTTAATTTAGTCAGGATTGTTTGTGTTTTTGTATATAAGAATGTATTATTTTAAAAAGAAAATAAGGACATTTATAGCCCTAATCTGTTTAAACAGATTTGCATATGTTTTTTTTATACCTCTTAGTAACCAATTGTTACTTTCATTCAATGTTTCAAACTATTTTTAGAGAACTAAAGGGATTGTTTCTATTTTTGTAGTATAAATTACTGTATACTTTTTAGGAGTGTAATATTTTGTAATGTTTTCGTTTTTTAAATAAATATATATTAATTGTAATAAAATATTTTATATTGTATGTTTAGAAAAAAAAAACAAAAAAAAAAATGTAACAATATATACTTACAAATTGCAATGTATTCTTATGTAAAATTAACCTTTATACTAACAATTAATTTAAAGTTAGAAAAAAAAATTGTACATCGACTTTTATAAGCGATAATTTTTATATGTAAACTTTGTGGAAGGTGCGCAGACGATAATTAAAGATTTCTGTGTTTTAAAAGACATATATATAAGCCTTGTTTTTTAGTATGGAAGTATTACGTCATCTCATTTCTTTTAATATTTAATATTACATGACGCAACGCCCGATCTCGGGTNTATATAATTGTGGGGCTTTGTTCAAAAAGGACCAATGTCACTTTTTGGTGAAAATGAGTTATATGGCGAATCATATGAAATTTGATATGCTATCCGAATCCTTAATACCTGGCCAATACGCTGGTTATCGCTAGCTACGCAACATCATATAATTGTTAAAAAGCGCGTAACCAACAGATTTAGCCAGGGGGTTCAGGGTATATTTACTTTCCGCTAAAAACGCTTTTTCAGAGGAGTATTGATCGATCAATAGCGAGCACCTTCACGCCAAATCAACTTGTAATTTAATTAAAAAGTGTTTGATTATTTTTAAACAATTAATACAGTTACTTATAAAATTATTAACACAATATTTCTAAATTCGCTCATAATTAAACCTAAACCTGAGTTTAAAATACACCCGAAACTATAATATGTCATTCCTAAAAAGAGGATTCTAGTCGTCCACAATCCTAGTACATTAGACTCTGTTTTTCATAGACCAGATAACCATAGTATGTGTTAGCCCTCTTCCTTGGGTTTCGCTTTAGAACTACCTTATATAATATAGGACTGATGTTGATTAACATCGATAAATTTATCAACTGATTAATAAATCGATCAATATTGTTTTTATATATATTTAACACTATTGACAAATTTGATGCGAAACGGGGCCGTTAATAATTCTGTGAAGACGTTATCGTGCTGCGGGAGAGACTAAAGAGAATATTTACTGTGAAAACGGACCTAAAACATACAGGGAAAAAATTAAAAACTTATCAGGGAATGGATGAATTAGTAAAATTAAATGTTTTTTTTCATTATAGATATATCTGAAGTAATTGTACGTTTGTATCTACAATTGATATTGACTAAGTAGTAAAACGGGGATAAATAAATAATAAATTGAGTTGAAACTTAAAATTATTAAATTTCAAATTATAAATATATTCCTTTACATATTAGTTGAGTTAAGTATTCAATTTTTTAATTTTATTTAATAAGTTATTTGATTACAAATATATGCAGAGTAACTTAATTTCAACAATCGACTGATTACATTTTAAAAATATTAACCTAAATAGGTAACAATAATCTAGTATGTATTCTATAAACTATACAGTTAAAAGTTATAAGAACAATTTAATAAAATAATAAATTCAAACAAGAAAAACTGAATAAACCACCTTCTTTATAATATTTAAGGAGTCAAAAATTGAATTTATTAACAAGCCATATATCTATATTTTATGATATAAGTATAATATATGTTGTTTAAACATTAAAGTGTTTGAACAAGATTCTTATATTATTAAACATGCTTATTAATAATTAATTCAGTTCAGTTCACTGCATACATTTAAAAAAATTTAAATATTAATCTTTATAAGAAATATTAAAAGTATGGCAGTGGCGCTGAAACCCGGTTTTATGTAGGACATTTTTCTGAATCTATGAACAAAACGTTCTGAAATTTTATTTCGTTAAGGTAAGTCCAATAAAATGTTTTACTGTCATATTTTAAATTACAAGCAAATCAAAGTTGTCAATAATAATCGTGAAACCAGATTCATCCCGATATATTGCACAAAACGGGTTTTAATCTTATTTAATTTGTTAATTTAATTAGTATTCTCACAATAATATGAAAATAATCACATACCTTTTTATTCTACTAATTCTATCTTTTTCTTACTATTCACTTGAAGTTAGCAAAAAGTTCGTTGCTCAAAATATAAGAATGTGTATGTATCAATGATTTGTTAAATTTTTGAATAGGTTTTCTAACTGTATTGTCATCAAGTCTACTATGCCAATAGGTATTGATATAGCTATACTGAGACGTCTAGTTTCACATAAGTGACCACTTCCGAATCTAGCCCGTTTAGTGTAACGAATCACTAACCAACGTATCGTATAGCCGGTGCGAATGCATACATACATCCATTCATCTCGAAAGACGATGCGTTTATAAATGGTAAATTATATGTTATATTCGGATAAAATGGAAAATATGCAACGTCTTTCCGACTTATCGATCGTCCGTCACAGCAAACAACTGTTTGTAAGTAGTATAAAAATGCCGATCCTGGTGCTGGTGCTGGTGTCATATCCCCGCCACTAAACGCAGCTGCTCGGTACTCCACCCCCGTCGCAGCCCGCACCGCTCGATACTCCTTATTATACCACGTAACCCACGTACATACACAAAGCCAGACTTATATTATTACCATAGATATTATCAACCCTTATAAATATATGTTACCATTATTTTACAATGTTATCACGTTCATTATCACAGACGATACCGCACTGGTTCTTATTTATGGATATTTTCAATTATACACACCACAGATATTATCAAGTTTAAGAAGAAACTTCCTCTGAAATTATCACACATTCCGATGGGATAGAAGACTTGGATAACAATGTCTTTGCGGAGTAATTTTCAATAAATGATATATATTTTTTAAGATCTACTGATATTTGTTTTTATTTGCATGAGCTCATCAAATATATCAATAAACCCTCAGTGAACGCGTATACATAGATATAATATGTAGTAGAATCCTCTTTTTAGGAATGACATATTATAGTTTCGGGTGTATTTTAAACTCAGGTTTAGGTTTAATTATGAGCGAATTTAGAAATATTGTGTTAATAATTTTATAAGTAACTGTATTAATTGTTTAAAAATAATCAAACACTTTTTAATTAAATTACAAGTTGATTTGGCGTGAAGGTGCTCGCTATTGATCGATCAATACTCCTCTGAAAAAGCGTTTTTAGCGGAAAGTAAATATACCCTGAACCCCCTGGCTAAATCTGTTGGTTACGCGCTTTTTAACAATTATATGATGTTGCGTAGCTAGCGATAACCAGCGTATTGGCCAGGTATTAAGGATTCGGATAGCATATCAAATTTCATATGATTCGCCATATAACTCATTTTCACCAAAAAGTGACATTGGTCCTTTTTGAACAAAGCCCCACAATTATATATATATATTGATCATAATGATTTATCTATTCTGACAAAACAGTTCATGAGTCTTCACACGTATTGCGCCGGGGCCTTGGTAGATAATTTTCCGGGACATCTGGTGCACCCGAGATCGGGCGTTGCGTCATGTAATATTAAATATTAAAAGAAATGAGATGACGTAATACTTCCATACTAAAAAACAAGGCTTATATATATGTCTTTTAAAACACAGAAATCTTTAATTATCGTCTGCGCACCTTCCACAAAGTTTACATATAAAAATTATCGCTTATAAAAGTCGATGTACAATTTTTTTTTCTAACTTTAAATTAATTGTTAGTATAAAGGTTAATTTTACATAAGAATACATTGCAATTTGTAAGTATATATTGTTACATTTTTTTTTTTGTTTTTTTTTTCTAAACATACAATATAAAATATTTTATTACAATTAATATATATTTATTTAAAAAACGAAAACATTACAAAATATTACACTCCTAAAAAGTATACAGTAATTTGTACTACAAAAATAGAAATAATAAAATTATACAGCACATGGGATGTGTTAAATTATTGGGACTTCTTAAATTGTATTTCGTACGTCTTCACTTTCAGAACATTGGCATCAGCAATTCACGAACAGTGTACACCAAACTCTTGTTTTCCATAAACGAGTTAGTCGCCTTAGGTAGCTTAATTTTTTCACGGTTTTGCTGTCTGAAATTGTTTATATGATAAGTTTTTAGTCTCAAAAAGTTATTGTTAGTTTTTATAACTTAAATACATAATTTATTATTAAAATACATTTTATTGAAATTATTGAAATACAATATACGGTTTTTCGCATTTATAGACCTTCTACTACTATTGGCGACGTATTGTTTATTATCTTACTATTGATTCAATTATTAATAAAATTAAGTTAAGCTTTACAATTAAAATCTTCAGACGACTAAATCCATTGATAATGGTATGAGTATAGATTATGAAATTAGTTTATATGTCATATATCATTATAAGGTACATATCAAATAAGTAATTAAGTAAAATTTAATATCACTTCATAATTGTTTTATTTCAAAATATCTATGATTTCATGTTGTAATAAATTTTAGCATTAAGTGCTTCAAATTAGAAACGCTTTAGACAAAAAATTATTATAAATAAAGACGCTTTTTCTAACATCTACTAATNTATAATATCATATCTGTTATATGACGCTTGTTATGTGACGCTTGTACATGTTGTTTGTTGGGCGATATATTGATATGTTAGTATCTCCGGAATTAATAACCGGAATTCTAGATTAGTGCGATCATAAATAGATCAGAACAATAGGCTTATAGTTTACCCAGTCCATCAATCATGTATAAAAAAAATAATATATGAAAAAAGTGTGATAAAAAAAAATCGGTGGCCGCCGTGTATATGCTAATAAAAACTATTGCAAATTTTTTCCATATTATTTTTTTTAAAAAAAAAATTTGAACATTAGTTAAAAAAAAAATATTTTCTTTAATAAATGGAAAAACTTTAAAATTAAATTAAATAGCGTCACCTTTAATTATAAATTAATTAAATTAAGTGATTTAGAAATTGATCAGAAATATTTATGTAAATATTTTAGTATTGATAAAACAAGATATGGCGACAAATTAAGTGTTATTTTAGATGATAAATTTAAATTATTTTTACCTGATAGATTTTTAAATAATTTGTCTCATAGGGAAATTGAAACAATCAATAAAAACACACAAGAGTAAATCCTTTTGGTATGTAAAGGTGTAAAAAAACTTAATAACAATAAAATATCCAGTCCTACATCCTTCTCTATCTATCACTCTAGCTCTTCAATCCTGTCCTCTATTCAGTGTTTCCGCGTCTTTTCTTATCAAATCTTCCCACCTCAATCGTGGTCTTCCCAGTGGTCTCTTACCAACTGGGTTCTTGTCCTTGATCAACCCTGGTTAGTGGCGGGTTTAGTTTGTCTTCTAAGGGGGGGGGGAATATTTAAATAACATGACCAGACGTCAGTCAGTCAATATGACCCCTGACCGCTTAATGTGACAGCACAGCTATCTGCATAGGCTGTGATTATAATTTCTTAACACTCTAAACTTCTATACACATTTCTGAAAGAAATTATTATTTATAGATAGTTTGATGTCTGGGGGCCCTATGCTCCCCTCAGTAGTATCAATATGCCGATTCTGGCTCACTTCTGATAATTTCACTTTAAAACAAATTTCTGATCTATATTCACATTGTTTTATTTCCTGTTCTTTATGTTCTTATGTAGTGTACATAAGTTCAAAAATAACAACGGTCTTTGTTTCGCATTTTTCTGATTATTATTGAATAAGTTAGAGCATTTCAAAAATTTCCCCTTCCTAAATTTATATTAGTTATAAAATCTATCATTATATTGAAATAATATTATATTTTATAACTTAAATATAAGAATTTCATTGTACTTTAATGTCCTAGTGTTCTGGTCTAGTGATAAAATACTTCAATTACAATTCAATAAATCCAGGTTTGAACCTCACATAAACTAATATAATATTTGTAAAAAAAAATTCAGCCTCTGGCGTGATATAATATCTCTGTAAGCTGAAAACGTTGTATAATATCATATCTGTTATATGACGCTTGTTATGTGACGCTTGTACATGTTGTTTGTTGGGCGATATATTGATATGTTAGTATCTCCGGAATTAATAACCGGAATTCTAGATTAGTGCGATCATAAATAGATCAGAACAATAGGCTTATAGTTTACCCAGTCCATCAATCATGTATAAAAAAAATAATATATGAAAAAAGTGTGATAAAAAAAAATCGGTGGCCGCCGTGTATATGCTAATAAAAACTATTGCAAATTTTTTCCATATTATTTTTTTTAAAAAAAAAATTTGAACATTAGTTAAAAAAAAAATATTTTCTTTAATAAATGGAAAAACTTTAAAATTAAATTAAATAGCGTCACCTTTAATTATAAATTAATTAAATTAAGTG